AATGGCCATGACCGCTAGAACGCCAGGGAGGGCTGGCCAGGGAGATTCCACCAATGACTTGTCCATCTCCTGTGAACGTCCTGTGGGGCACCCCAAAATGGAAAGCAACTAACTGAATACTCTGGAGAGAACTGTCATTCAGGAGCAAGCCCAGCAAGATGGGCCCTATACATGGGTGCCCGGTGTGATCTGAGGAGCCCCAGACACTCTCTGCACACAAAACCTCCCCCTCCTTGTCACTGGGCCTGATATCCCACAATCAGACCTCATTCCACCAGCGTCTCTGAGCACCTACCATTTTCCAGGCATCATGCTAAGCACTGGGCTTGATTCCTTTGGGTTATATATTATCCTCTCTAAGCATTTTCTTTTAAAATGCAAATACTCTCTGAGAAAGGCAATGCATTAAATTGCTAACACCCCAGTTTGAATTAATTGGAGGGGGTTTCTTTCCTGTAAGACAGCAGAGGACTGGATAGCTTTAGCAAAAGGGGAACTAAAGTCCAGAGGGTAGAGGCGACTGTAGAACTTAGGAGCAAGACAGAGCATCAACCTAGCCTTCTTCTGTGGTGGATTTCTATGGCTGCACCTCCTCCTTCCTTTGTCCTTTCACCAAGACGACACACCTCTTTCCCCCACAAGCAGCAGCAGTCCCCGTAAGTGCAGCTGGGAGGCTAGCCACGTTCCATAAGAGACAGCAGCCAGGGGCTGGGCAGCCTTGGCTCTGCTGCAGAAGGGCCGGGCCTGCTTTTCACAGTCTCCAGGGTGAGGACGCCCTGAACCAGTGCCTGCTCGCTCCCCAACAAGTCCGGTGCTTGGAGTTCAGGTAATTAGGCCCTTGGCAATCTCACCTGAGCCCGCCAATAAAACTGAGACAATCACCCTCAGCCCCTGTTCAGGAGGGAGAGAGGCAAGGAGGAAGCGGAGAAAAACTTTTTTTTCTGTGCTGAATTCAAGACTTGGCAACCAGCGGGAGAATGCTATTAGTCTATAAGCAGCCACTCCAAACACCCAACCCCCACTCCATACCCAGGGTCATCCCCTCCCACCACAGAATGCTGGCCTCCATCTGCCACCATCATCCAGGGTGACAGGGGACGCCTGTGTGGGCCGCAACCTGAACAGGAGCCAGGCAGTGAGGACCTATGCTTGCAGAGACAGGCTCTCCCCAGCCTGGCTCCTTCCACAGCAGAGGAGGGAAGGAAGGACACCAGAGTCTGGCCCCACCCCACCCCAGGAACCACAGCCACCCTCCAAAAGAGTCTAGAAGGATGCTCCAGAGTGTTAAAGAGTGACCGACTTCTTTGCACCCTGCCTTATGTCATCACCAGCTATTGAGGTCTCAGTCTTTGTCTGGACTCCTGCAGAGTGAGGACCATTCCTTAACCATCTCCATGTTGGTGCAGCACCCAGTAGGTACCTGGCACACAAATAGGCCTTTCCTTTTCCCCCTAAATAATAAACATTAATACTTCTTGTATCTGATCACACTGATAGATGGAGTTCCATACCTGGCCCTATTTACTCCGTCTATCACCTACTCTCACGCCTAAGACACACAGGGGAAAGGGCTTTTCTGTCACATGGTAGGGTGGGGAGAGTGTAGTTTAACAATAAGAACTGCCACTTACTGAGTGCTTGCTAGAGATCTAGAGTTCATACTCTATGAGGATTACCTAATTTAATTCTTCTTAAGGGATAGGTACTATTATTACCCCAATTTACAGAGAAGGAAACCAAGGCTAAGAAAGAAATTCAGAAATTTGCCCAAAGTCACACAGAAGCTTTAATAGATACTTATTTAACTGAACTGAAGGCTCCCATTCTATGTCAAGAACTAGTAGGAAGGAGGGGGAAGGCATCTTGCCCCAAAAGATTCCTACCCGATCTCACCAACGTGTAAGCAGGCCACGGAGCAGGCCGGCAAGCCCTGCTACTTGCTCTTCTCCTTGGGTGCAGCAAGTCCAGCTAGCCTCAAAGGGGCCGTTTCTGGACTGGGTACACTCCTCCACCGTCTCTGGGACCCTGGAAGCATTCAAGGAACCCAAATGTTCCCCCTGCCTCTGCCTTTCCTAACGCGGCCTCCTATCGAACAGAAACGGAGTTTCCAGCTCCTCACTCTCCTCCTCTCCCGGGGAGAGGTCTCCACAGGTGGGGAGGGGGTGCGTCATGGGAGGGTCCTCCGGAGTTAAGCTGAGCGGCCTGGAGGTCTCTCACTTCCTTCGCGCCACCCCCGCAGGCTGAGCCGTGCCTCGCGCGGGGAAACATGGGCACTGCAGTCAATATTGGGGCCTGCAGCTCGCCCAAGACCGCGGACCTCGCGGCGTCCTCTGGCCCCAGGCAGAAACCCACGGAGACCCCCGCCACCTCCGGGTGCCCGCGCAGCAGGAAGCGCCGCAGAGGGTCCAGGACTGGGACTAGAGCGGCCGGAGCTCGCTGGTCGCCGCCCTCCCCGCCTCTCCCCTGCTGCCACTCTCTTTCGGCCAAAGGCCGGAGCCGCTGGCTAATTTTTCACGCCCCCCAGACCGCCTCCCTAGGTGACGCTACAGCCTGTGCGGTTCCTTTAAAGGCTGCGGGTTCCGTTCTTCTTTCCTTTTCCACTGGATGCCAAAATATGCAAATCCGGGGACCGGAATCAGCAGCCAAATCGAGAAGGAGAAGGGGCGCGGCCGGCACGTCACCGGATCCGCTCCTTGTATGGCTCTTCCCGGCTTGGCCCACCGCCCCGCGACCCTCCCAGCAGCCGCCAGGGCCCCTCCCGCGCCCAGCCGGGCTCACACAGCCGCCCACGTCCCCGAACCGGCCGCTCGTCCCCCCCAAGGGAGGGAGCCGGGGGTGGGAGGCGCTGCATGCCCTGATTCCGGCCGGAGCCGGGGACCGCTGCAGAGCGCTCCCTCCCCGCGCCGCGCGGGCGGAGAAGAGCCCGGGGGCGCAGTGCCTCCCCTGTATAGGTGTAGGGAGCCTGGCGGGAGCGTCTGCAGGGGCGGGGGAGAGGGGGCTCGCGGGAGGCGGGAATCCCTCCTTTCTTAAGAACCGGAGAAGACCCGGGAAGGCCGAGGCCTCCCACCCCAGTTCTCCACCGAGTAAAGTGAAGAGGAGGAGAGCGAGGTTGTCATCCACCCCCACCACGATGTGCAGCTTGGGAGTTCCTCCCACACCTCCCCGGCCCGCGTGGCCCTCCCACGGCGTGAGGCCCGGGGATCCTCTTGTCCTCCTTGTCAACACTCCCACTCCCCCTGAGAAATGCACGTTCCCCCAACCCCGACTCCCCAGCAGGAGGACGCGGGATTCACCGCGCCCACACGGCCACCGAGGAGGGAATCCTCCCACACCAAGCCAGTGTGATTCGGGGTCGCTCCCCCACGCTCCCGTCCTCTCCTCCCCCTCTCCCGCGGCCCGGCCGCGCGCGCTCCAGAAGCAGGCCTCGGGGAACGTATCAGCCGCCCCCGGGATCTGCTGCCGCTCCGGGAGGTGACAGCGCTCCGAGTCGGCTAACAGGCTGCCCTTGGACTGCAAGGCGCCGGCTGGCAGCAATAGGGACAGCCCTGTGGCAGGCGAGGGGGAGGGGAGAAACTAGGGGAGGCCGCCCTGGTGGCTCAGAGATTGTGGGTTCGGCGTGCTCCTGCTGCAACTCAGTGGCGGGCCCTTCGCAGGCAGCAATAGACAGCGACTGCGCCCGTGCCTGCTGGGCCCTCCTGCCATCCCGTGGCCAAAGGGGGTGCTTAGGGAATTTACTGGGGATTTGGTGCACGTGTTTCCTATCCCCTCAACTTCATTCCTTCTTCTTCACCACCAAAACCGCACATCCTCGACCCCAAAAGTGCAGGGTTCTCGCCTCCCGCGCAACCGCTCTGCAGCTGTGAATCTCCCCGCCACTGCGCTCAGCCGGAGTCAGCGCAGGGTCAGGGGCCCAGAGAGCGGCAGGGGTGTGGGCGGCGAATCAGCGTGAGGGCCGCACGGAAGTTCTCGAGATACTGGATCAAAGATCCCTGACACGCTCAAAGGGACGCGCTCCCTTTCTCCCAGTCTCAGACAGGGTCCTGGACGTGAGAAGGGCGGCGGGAGCAAGGTCCCATCGCACACCTTCGGGTTCCCCAGAAGATCCCAGGCTGCAAAGAGACTTGGCCAGCCAGCCGTTTTCTTTCTTGCTGCTGGTGGTGGTGGAGGCCACTTGCAAACAACCGCACCCCCCACCCCCCCGCTCTACAAGCGCACTCTCCTAGTGCAGACCTCAAATAAACACACTGGCGGTTATTGCTTTCTCAACCCCGCGCTGTGCGCTTTACGCTTTGCGTTCAGTGCATCCCTCTTTCCTCTTTCCTCTCGAATTTTCCTTCTTTCTTCTGTTCTATTTCTCTCTTTCTCTCTTTTTTTTAAGATCCGCGAGCAGTGCGGGCGCCGCACGTTGGCTGCGGCCCGCTTCCTGCTTTCTAATGTTCCATTGTGAGGAGCTTCCATTGTGACGTCGCGCCCCTTCGGCTGGGCTTTGTCTGTCCATATATGGGCAGCTACGTCACGGAGCTTTCCCGGGGCTCAGATAAATAGGCTGGTGGAGTTCCCTGGCTGGGAGCTTTTGGGCAGCAGTGAGCTTGCTAGGAAGCGGCGGGGCTGGTGGTGGTGGTAGCAGCGGCAGCGGCAGCGGCAGAGGCGGCGACGGCGGCGGCAGTGGCGGCGGTGGCGGTGGCGGCTCGGGGGGCGGGGGGGCTGCGGACGCGCGTC